TGTATTTTTTGGCTACTTAAACACTCAAAGTGCTTACATATGCTATGAAATCATCACAAAAAAGTAGCCATGTCTCATCATGTCAAATTTATTGAAATAATATTCTCTTTCTAAGAAAAAAATTCTTGTATCCCTCTCACCACTGAATCTACCTTATATTCTTGGACCAATCAATCAAATATGTTATCAAAAAATCAATTATGCACTCCATCTTTGTCACATTTATTTCACCAAGAAATCCTCCAAACACCTACTTGTTTCCCTTTTCCATGCCTGAAACGTTCACCATTGCCTAATTTTGCTAATCATTTGCTCCCACAAATTTAGCTCATGCGACCCTCTTCTACCATAATAGCCCTTGAACCCAATCTTCTAAATAACTCTTTATTAAAAACCCCAAATCTATTACCAACTTTATCAAAATTAAAATATTTTCAAACCAATAATGACAATCATTTGATAACTCAAAATCTGGCAACTATGATCCCCGCTGATCCTATGAATATGCCTACACATAAATTCAATCCTCAACGCCAGTGGAATGACTCCACTACACCAAATACAAAAATAATATTCATTTCTCCTCTTTCCCATCACACCAAAACCAACTTGTCAACTTCAATTGAAAATAACATTTTGATCGATAACATTCTCCCAACTCCTCCAAACATATCACTACCTCCACCTCACCATACCCTCTTCTCCCACAACAAATACACTACGTGCAAACTTCAGCAAAAAAATAATATCTAAAAACCTCTCACTAAACTTAGCCTCATAGCATATCGTTTATCCTCATCAACCCATGAAAAAACATATATTGCTCAAGCCATGAAACATCCTGAATGATGTGCTACCATGTATGAAGAATTCAATGCGCTCCTTTGCAATCATACTTGGAACCTCATCCCTCCTATACCTTCTCAAAATCTTATTGGTTGCAAGTGGGTGTTTCATATCAAACACAATCATGATGGCTCCATAAATCGCTACAAAGCTCATCTTATGGCGAAAGGGTTCCACCATTGCCCTACAGTTTTGCTATTAGCTTGATTAAGTCAAAGGCAGACACATCATTGCTCATTTACTTAAAAAAAAAAGTTTAACACTATATCTCCTGCTATATGTGGATGACATCATTCTCATGGGTAGTAATGATTCTCTTTTTAAATAGGTAACAAACCAACTTCCCACAAAGTTTTTCATCAAAGATCTTGGAGATCTCTCATATTTTCTCAGTGTAAAAGTTATGCATCCATTAAAGTCTTTTTTTATTCCACGACAAACATATTCAAGATCTATTAAAATAGACAAATATGAAAAGTGCAAATGACATTACTACGCCCATGTCTCCCATGCACCAACATGCCCACCATACTTGATGGCATCTCTCTCATTTATATGCCACTGAGTATCACTCACTAGTTGGTGGTCTTCAATATCTATCTCTTACTCAGCCAGACATCACCTTTGCTATCAACAAGCTCTCATAATTCATGCATCGCCAAATTAAGGTTCATTGGAGGTAAGAGATTATTGGGTTCGGACATCGGACACAGCTTATGTTCAGTACTTCATATTACCGAGTAATACTGAACTCAGTACTGTGAAGTACATAGTTGGGGGTTATGTGGCGCATTTTCATAGAGCTCCAAACGTCATCCGGTGTTCGAACCCAATAATTTCCATCATTGTAGTGCATCTAAACAATTTCTTTCACTACAGGAAAATTACCCATTTCTGAAGGAAATTGAACATTTTTCGGCGGTTTTCAAATTTACCGGTAGTTTTTCAGCGAAAAAAATTTCACTAGTAAAACCCGCGTAGGAAAATAAATTCCATCGGCTTTTTCTAACGAAAAATAATTCCGGCGAAATTAAAATTCCCGTAAAATAAAAATAATTAAATTAAAAAACTCCCACACCACCTCAGCCTGCTCGCTCCTACACCGCGCGCCCCCCGCGCTCCTGCCAGCTCGCGCTCGGGAGCCCACCAGCCATCTCGCCCAGAAACAGCTCGCGGTAGCCTGCCAGCGCCCGCTCCCAAATTAATTAATTAGTTTGTATAATTTTCAATTATTTTTTAAAATTATTTAAATACTTAAAATTTTAATCATTTTAATTAAATTTTAAACTTCCACCGAAAAATTGAAAAAGCAGCCAGAAAATTTTGTAGGAAAGAAACTGCCAGAAAATTTCATCGAAAAATTTGTTTCATTGTTTTCCGTCGGAAAGCCGCCGAAAATGGGTGATTTTCCTGTAGTGTTTGTTACATTTGTGCCACTATTCGTAATGACATATTTCTTCATCGCAATTCTCTACTCTCCCTTTATGAATTCTCAGATTCTAATTGGGATGGCAACATTGTAGATTGAAAATCCATAAATGCTTATATTATTTTTCTTGGTCATAATCGCATCTCTTGGTGCTCCAAGAAATTAACAACGTACTATAGCTCGCTCATCCACCGAAGCATAATATATCGTGCAATTGTCTATCATTGCTAAAACCAGTCGGTTAAAATCTTTACTTCAATTCATGAGCTCGATGTCTCTCTTCCCACCATGCCAATAGCCTATTGTGATAGTATCGGTGCAACCTACTTATGTGCAAGCCCAATTTTTCATTCATGTATGTGCACATCTTCGTTGGCTTCCACTTCGTTTGAGAAAAAGTACAAAATGGCGGCACTCACATGATTTTTCATCATTACTCATGTTTTTGAAAAAAAAATAATTACATCATATATATATATATATATATATATATATATATATAATCGATTTAAGTTTTCACATTTCATATAAATATTTTTAAAATTTATTACTCCATCTTCAAAGTTATTATGAACGCCATTTTTTAATTTTTTTATGCGAAAGCAAAAAAAATAAAAAAATTAATTAAAAGGCACAAATATTTTAAAATTTTATACAAGCCTGTTCAAATTTTAATATTTTGTGTCCAAAATAAAAATTTGTCTTTATTTTTTTAATTTTAAATTTTGAATAATCAAGCAAACATATAATCTAAATTTAGAAATATCACATCTCATAATTAAAAAAAATATTCACCTTAGAGGTCAGCTTAGAGGTGCAAACAAAATAAATTTTTCGTGAATTTCACTATTATATTACCATAAACATGAATTTACTATCATGTCCCTACAATTTTTAATATAATTCACATACTATCCTAATCTTTTGACCTTTTTTAGAAAATAATAACACAACAAACAGTTGGTGCTAATATTAAAGAAAGAATCCACTAATCTTAAAGTAATTAATCTTTTACAAATACCAAATATAACCTTGTGGGATAAGTTAATTATATATAAAAATTAAATTTATGTTTGAAAATTAAAATAATTTTGAATAGGATGGGAGGCTTTTCTTGTGATTGTCATATTGTCATGTCTATAATTGCAATAATGATATTGGTTTATTTATGTAGATAAAAAAAAGTAGCTATTTGATTATATGCAAATTTAAATAAAAAATTATTTACATAAAAATTATATTAAATAATAATGTTATTTATCAACTGCAAAATATTTGATTAATTGAATGTTATTTAAATAATATAATGTTATCTAAAAAGATTATCAATAATTATATTTTTGTATAAAATAGTAAAACAATATGTTAATTTTTTATCACAATTTAAATATTTTTTTATGAATAAAACTTCAGAAACGATAAACAAGTTCTCAATCTACAGTTCCAAATCTTAAAATCACAAAAAATTCAATTAAAAAAAAATTGTGTTCACATCTTCTACTCTGAGGAATTTCACATTGAATAGAGTAATTAATTTTGTCTCTAAATAGGAACGAATTATAAAAGGGAAGGAAAGAGCAGTAGCTTTCAATTTGCAGGTTTTAACTGTTAATTAAGAGTTTTGAATTAACAAGAAATGATTAAGAGATAATTATAATAATTAGTTTCTTGTCTTTGAGCCTTCATATTTTTCTATGGTTTCTAGAAATAGGCGATAGGCTTCAAAGCTATCATCTTTGTCCACGCAAAGTATATTTTCTACAGCGATTTGGCCGTGGAGCTAATTGAGGAAAGCTACTCAGAGAGTTGGAATGCTATTATGGAAGGAATAATTGAATGCGTCAGAAGAAGTTGAGAGAAGGCAAAACTCTGCAAAGGGAATAGCTTTCATGGCAGACAGAAGGAAAAAGATTGGAACTTTATAAAAATATTATTTTTTTAAATAAATTTCAAGGTGAAGAAGTACATAAATCAATATAAAATATGAATAAATCACTTGCTGGAAAGGATAATTCCAAGTGAATAAAATAACAAAAAGGGAAGTCTAATAAAAGAGAGGAAATTAACAAACATAAAAGTATTTATTTTAAGATTTTTAGTGAATTTAATCATAATAATTAGTGCGCTCGAACTCCAGTCTTTATAGTGGAGCTAAAGGCCCCCAATAACAAGGTCATCATAGTCCTGCGAAAATTAATAACTTCATACAAATGTTTTGATAACTACTATGAAGACACAATCATTTAGATGGATTCATGGCTTTAATCCTTAAATTAGGGCTTTTAAAGAGCGCTAATGACTTGATTAAATAGATATATTAGTGAGAGAAAAGTAGTTATAATAGAAGGATTGACAAACAAAAGGAAAAAAAAGATTTCTTTTCATGTTCATATAGTAATCATTACTTAAGCTACTAATTCAGTGATTATCTCATGCATTAAAGACTTCAAAAACTCTCTCTCTCTCTTAATTGCAATATTGCGTTATGGAGATTAATATATAAAAGTTAAATTTCCTTTTGTTGTTTGATTATGAAGTAACAAAGATCATGCAAACAGGAAGCTTTCTAATCAAAGCACAAAGAAGCACTTATGCACCAATAGCTTTAGAAGAAGCATGAAAAACAATAGCAGATACAGAAAGAATTATATATAAAGAAAAATAAAATAGAAGAGAAAGTTGAGAGATGGGAGAGAAGAGAAAAATTAAGGATCAAGGGTGAAACCTGGAAGATCCCACGGCTCACACTTGTTGAGATCGACGTCGATCATCATCAGACGGCTCTGATAAGAACTTCCATTGTCGGCTCCGCCAGAAAGCTTCTTTTCAAGGTAGTCACACACTAGCTCGTCATCTCGTGGATGAAACCGAAAGCCTGGAGGAAGCCTTGCCTCCATCATGCTCAAAACACTCATGTTTCTAATGAGAGAAGAGAGGAGGAGAAGAGAAGAAGAGAGAGGGGGGAGGGAAGCGGTGACGAGACGCGAAGAGGGGGTGATGATATCCAGCATAGGGTGAGTTTCAGAATAAATAAGCAGAGATAAGTCAACCAGGGGTATTTGTGGAATGGCAAGTTGGGAGCGCAGCCGCAGTTGGTCCTCCTGCCCAAAATGCCCCTGCAGGGATGCAAGTTTTCTTTATTTTATTTATTTAGAGATGACAGTTGAAGCTTAAATTGATTTTAAAAAAAAGAAGAAGTAATGAAGTCTAGCAAAATGGGGGATCAAGTTTAGCTTAATTATGGGCTTACATGATATAGAATCATAACAACAATATGATATGATATGGTTATAAACTATACAAAAGAGAGCTAAAAAATGCTTGAATTTAGACTTTGGAAGAACCATAGAAGTTTGGGCAATGAGACGAACCCAAAATAAAAGCGAAGATTGAAAGTTAACATGGTTGTGAGTTGACAATGATAATTCAAAATATGATCGAGTTAGAAAAAACTTGAGAGTTCATGATGTGATCATTCTTGTCACGACCTGACTTGGAGGCTCGAATTAAGAAGATGGGACCAGACGGTTGAACGGTTGATTAATAATTTCAATTAATCTAAAATCATCTCAATAAACTGAAAGAACCACTAAAATCTCAAAATTTAAAACAAGTTAAATATTATAAATACCTTACTCTTGTTGTGCCATGTGTACGATAAACATCATCTTCTATTCTACTTATTGTAACTATGAATAATATCTGTTCATTTATAAATTTAAGAGTGAGTCATAAAATAACTAAGTATAAATCAAACTTCTAAATTACAATAACATAAGGTTTTTAAATAATATGCATGCTCATTTCAAAATATAAAATGATTTCATTTAAATTCATTTCAAACATGATCATCAATGTTATATATGCATTTATTTATCTATTTCTTTATCTTTTCTTGTAAATAATACAATCGTCACAAGAGTCATGTCTAAAATAATACTAATAAAGATACTCATTTTTCATTTTATTTTTCTTTTTCTAACCTTTTTCCCTGGCCTGTACCATAAGGAGGTGTGCTCTATCAATCAACATGTACATACAAATATTTATATATAATCATTTCATTTCAATTACCATTCAATAACTTTTTATAATGCATTTTGTAAACAATTATGCTATATATCAAAAAAATTCAATATGACTATTCAAAAAGAAGAAATACTAAAATTATACAATAATCATTAACTACCCAATATCAATAAATTCAATGAACTTGAATTAAAGAAAATAACATTATTATTATAAAATATAAGTATAAGTACTCACATTGAAATCAGATTTCTTAACAATTTGTTTCATCGTCCTGTCTTTAGATTAACACATAGAATATTCTTCATAAATATTAAAATTATTACATAATATACCATTATTATAATAATTAAAATATTAATTATAAATTGCTCTCCCTCTCTCTCTCTCCACAATTAGCTACTTAAATCACCTAATTCCTCTCATATTTAATTGATTTCTAAAAGTACTAAATTTTAAATTAAAAAAATATTATCCTTGTTTTATTATTTTATTTGATTAAAATTATTATTTAAAAATGAATTTTCTACATTATTATAATTTATTTATGTTGTGAACTAGAATATACGCGACGGTAGACTGAAAAATACAACGTCTTAGCAATATACATATATTTAGTACACCAATAGATAATTAAGGGAGAGAAATACCTGAAAATTTTTTACATGAAAAACCCGAAAAGGGAAAAACCATGGGGCCTCGCCCACATGAAAAATTTCCACTATGACTGGGTTAGTAACAAAGTTTGATTCACTCCTTTACTTGGAGCCGCTGGAATTACAATAGGTTAATAACCGGACATAAATCTGGCGATGATTGATGAACCGGCCGAAATAAGACAGTAGTTGGGAAGAGCTCTAGCGACGGTCCAGAAGAAAACTCCGGCAATGGTTGGCAAGAACTCCGACAGAGATCGGGAGGAACTCCGGGGATGGTTGGCAAGAACTCCGGCGGTGATCAGGAAGAACTTCGGCGGTGATCGAAAAGAATTGCAACGGTGATCGGTAGGAAATGCGGCAGTGGTCGGTGGCATTGAATATATATATATATATATATATATATATATATTGCTAATAGGAATTTTATGAAAACCTCTGACATATTTTTTAGAATTGAATAATTACGTTCGAGCGTTTTGATATATAATTTTATCAAAAACATTTTTTTTTAGGTGGAGCAATGACGAATGTCTCAAAAATTATTCCTTCTTGTAATGATGGTGATAGGAGGAGATCTGATGATGTCTCATCCATCATTACACCCAATAGCTTGGCGGTAATTCATAAGAAATTTGATGTGCCGAATGATGTGTTAATTATTGCTCCAAAGAGGACCAATAGGGCACATGCTCCTCCAAAAGGATTTGCAACAGTATATGAGATGATGCTACGTGCTGGTATGAGGTTTTCTCCAGCACTTGAGTTACTTAAATTTTTCAAAGCATGTGGCGTTGCCTTACCCCAATTTTTATATAGAGCGATAATAATTATAGTGGGTTGGATAGTATTCTTTAAGGAACATTGAGCAACACTAACTGTATAATATTTATCCAAAATGTGTAAATTTACAAGTGATTCTAAATTTCTGATGGCTGAATTTTATGTCGAGCCAATAAGAAATGTTTCGATTTTGTAACGAGGGACCCTTCGAAGAATTGGTGTAACTCATTCTTTTTGGTGAAGAAATGAGTGTGGCATTCCTGAAAAATGAGATAAATTGAAAGAGTTGTCAAGTTCTTTACATATAAGAGAGGAAGAAGTTTTGAGAATTTGGAATTTTTCTGATACAAAAAGTCTTCAACAGGAACTGCACTATATTAGTCGATGTGTGATAGATGAAAGCTTTTTAAAGTTAGCCTTTCTATTCAAGCAAGAAGATCCCATGCGACACAATCGAAAAAAATTTGAGAAGGTTCATGAAATAACTCCTACTGCTCTTAAGCATTCAGCAAGCCATCCTTCAGAAGGTCAAAGAGTAACTGATTCCTCCTCCCTAAAGAAGAGAAAAATAAATAATAAAGTTATCCTACCAAGAGATGATGGGGGAAGCAAGGAAGCTACATGTCTTCTGACAATCGATATAATTTGTTTTGATTCGTATATTGAGGCTCGACCCTCAAGAATACATATCCCAGAAGATGTATTGAAACATATTTGTATCAAGCGATGTCATGCTAATGAAATTGTGAGTTATTTCAATCTTTTTCTTCTTGTTCCTCCCACCTTTTTTTATTTTTAACATAATTAAATTTTTTATTGTAGATGATTCAAAAGATGGATTTAGAATCCCAGTTTGAATCAATTTTGAATAATTGGAATGATGAATTTGTAAAAGTTAAACATTTACAAGGAGAGTATAAATGAAGATTGGATGTAAAGACTAAAGATATATCATCCTTGCAGAGCCAATTGACAGAATGTAGAGTTGAATTGGCAACAATATCCACCTCTATCTCTTTCCAAAATTGAGAAGCTGACCTTAATTTCCTGCCATGAGTTGATTGAGGCTTGTGCAGAGATTAACCAGCAAAAAAAACTTTGAAAATGCTTGCACTAGAGAAGAAAGCACTTGAGAAAGAGAACAAGAAGTTATAAGATCATATTCAGAAAAGAGAAACAACCACTTTGGATATTGAAGTCATATCATTGAAGGTCATTGAAGAATTCAAGAAATCTGCAACTTATCACTAAGAGATTCAAAATCAAGTTCAAGAGGCTTATGAAAAATTATTTGATATAGAAGTGAAGAATCTAGAGTGTCAGAGTCTTGAAGAAGGCTTTGCTCGTGGTTTCTTGAAAGGTGTTCGGTTGGTTCACCATAAAGCTGGGGTTGATATTAAATGGCTTACTCCTAGTCAAGTATCTAAGGATTCTTCTCAAGATTCAGGCGAAGAAGTTATTGAAAGTAAACTAAAAAAGGTTCTTTTTAGAGATGATGATGATGTTGATATTACATAAGATGTTTATTATTGGTTGTATTTTATCTATAATTCTTAGAGATTTTTGTGTATCCATTTTGTTTCTAGAAATGTATCTCCTGACCTATATATTGATTTTAAGAAATATTAAAGTTTTTTGTAACTTTGCAACAGAATTTTTTTTTAATAATTTATGATTTATTTAGTTTAATGGAGAAAAACTTTTATTTATTAATTTGAAAGAATTGAGGGGCATCCTTTTAGGATATTTAACCTATCCATGGTCGTGTTGTCAAAGCATTGTTTGAGGACATTAACCTGTGTGGAAGAGGTTGGATAAAATGCTTATAGGATTGATCAAAGAAATGATAGATATCCATTTAGGATGTTAAACCTATCCAAAATTATGTTGTAAAAATATTACCTGATGACATTTTTTTTTTTGACATTAACTTGTGTGGAAGAGGTTGAATCAAATCCCTATAGGATTGATCAAAGAAATGATAGATATCCTTTTAGGATGTTAAACATATCCAAAGTTGTGTTGTCAAAGCATTGCCTGATGACATTAATTTATGTGGAAGAGGTTGAATCAAATCCCTATAAGATTGATCAAAGAAATGATAGATATCCTTTTAGGATGTTTTAGGATGTTAAACCTATCCAAAATTGTGTTGTCAAAGTATTAGCCGATGACATTAACTTATGTGGATGAGGTTGGATCGAATTCTCCTAGAATTGATCATATATTGATTGAGATACAATGAATATTGTGTATTTCTTGAATCAATGTTATGTTTTATATTTTATATAGGACCACTGTTATGATCCTGTTTTGAAAAGAGAAAAATGATGATAATGATCAATCCAAATTTTACTATTTTAGAAAGTAGTTCAATAATTATATGATGTTAAATAGGAGGGCTATATAATAGCAAATTAGAAAATAGTTTTAATAACAATTACTGATAATATTTGCTAAGATTCTCAATATTTTAGGTCTGTGATAGCATTTTTCCATTAACAACTTTTAGCTTGAATATTCCTAGT